ATCTATGGATTATGGGTGGATGGTGTATGATGCATGGATTTCAATGATAATGTGGTTATGGATTATTCATGCATATAACCTTCTCTCCTTCATAATGTCATGAATGAGAGGCCCTTGGTGTCCCAAAATTTGGATAAAGAACAGAAAGCTGAATAAATAAACAAAAGTAAACCATGTTCAAAAAAAAAAAAACAAAAAACAAAAGTAAACAGCAAACTTATAGCACTTGCAGCAATAGCTGCGATGGAGTGCATCTTGTACTCTGTAAAACGGTTCTAGCCTGTAACTTGGCACAAATAAGAACATAAACTTGATTAGTAAAAATGTAAAGGTTATATCCTTGATTAAAAACTTTTAAAATATAGTAATTAATCTTAATTAATAAAGAAAAAAAATGTTTTAACTTTAATTAAAAATTTTAAGAGATTAATTGTGTCTTTTTCTTTTTACCAAATCTCATTCTAATCTTGAAATTGTAAAATTTCCCTTACCCTAAGGCTCTATTTAATTTTAGTTTTGAATTTTAGTTTCCGATTTTTATGCATTTAGTATTCCTATTGCACTTTTTAATTGTCTTAATCTCTCAACTTTATATAAATTAATTTATTAATTTTATATAGCAAATAAATGATAATTGAAAAAAATTAATTTAAGTAAAAATACTCAATAAGAATTATGTATGGAAAGAAAAAAAATTTTTAATTATCATTTATAAATTATATAAAATTATTTAATCAAACTTTATACAAAAATCAAATTAAAATAACTAAATCTAGTGTTTGGCTAACATGCTTAAATATATAACATTTAGTAGAATAGGTTAAGGGTCGAGGGAAAATTATTTTTTATTATACAACTCAAAATAAATAAATATAAATGTATATATACTCAATTACATAAAACCCACTAATATATAAACAAAACAAAATCAGTGGCACCATACAATTTCTAATGCCTAAGTTCAGACAACACAATTACAATCAACAAAAGTATGGCCAAGATAGAATGAAGCTATTCTATACAACTCCAATTTCTTCTTCCCTCCTTTGCCCTGTTCATTTTTTGTTCCAAGACGACCTTCATATCACACTTCAACCCCACAATATCATTAATAAAGGCAGGAACAGTTGATTCACCATATCCCTCGCCTACCCTCTCCCATCGTTTGTTCTACGTACCCCTTTTTTTTTTTTTGGCTGCCCTAAATCATTTTTCCAAGAAAAGAATTGCACCACCTAATGATCTCTATATATAACTGGCTTACTCGAGTCCAGTGCACTCAAGCCAATGAAATTTGCAATAATAGCCTATGAGACAGTCTTGTGAACTGCCCCTGCATTTGGGTTTGAACAAGATTAAATACAAATTAAATACCAGTCTCAGTTTCCACAAATTTAGAACTGCTT